CTTGTCGAGAGCTTTGGTGGACTGCGTACAAAATAATGTAATGTATTTCATTTAATTATATATTTCATTATTCATGAAAATTTCTACAATAATCAATATAAACAATATATAAATATTACAGATAACACAAATATTTGTATCTTCTTGATCAAACTGAATTTGTTTTGTAAGGGTTAATTAAAAACAGTGAGTACTGTTTGTTAATTAAGCAGTATCATCTAGTTTTGGTGTTTGGCTTTTTAATGGCTATATTACTAGTTAAAACCTTCAGAATACGTAGGAGACATATTTCTCTAATCTGATATCTAATCTAATCCGTACAGTAGTTTTCTAACAGCTCCCAAAAAGCATATCAAATCTTACTTATGTTTTTAAATATTTTTGGCGTTAAAAAATTAACGGCTGGATTCTTTTAGTTAAAACTTTGAGATACGGCAAAGGGTGCATATCTCTTGATTTTGGTGTATAGTTTTCACATATTTGAGCAAAACAAATTTTCGACCTAAAAACAAAGCGGAGTGTCCCTGTAAAGTATGAGTTTCCTACGAATAATGAGGTAAATGTGCTCACGCTGCTAATTTTTTTACACAGGTTGAAATAGGTAAGTTGCCTTGATATTGCATTTTGTGACATGCTATTTTGTTCGGGGAAGTTCTTGCACAATTTGTATTCGATGAATTTCATATTAATAGGGTTGGACAAAGACATCTTGGAGTATATGTGTGAGAATTTTCCAACGTCTAGTTTATTTTTAAGTTTTATTTTAAGCCATCTCTATGACAAATGTACGAAATTTACATAAAGCTATCTTATTTCTATTATCTAATTTCAATGAGTATGGTTTCAGTTATAGTTTGCAGATTAAAAGTGCTGAATATTTCATGAAGGTATGCTCATATAACATACAAAAATTGAAAGGAAAATGTAGACAATTGCTACTTTTAAACATAAGAACAAGATAACTGATGTTATATAAATAAATAAAGTTTCTCTTGTGATTGCCGACACAAAAACAAATCGGTTCACCGCACACATTG